TCCTGCTTGGGCAGTCAACTTGCTGTCCCGTATTGGCGGATTCCATATGAGCAGCAAAGTTGGGCGGGCAATATTGATCCAAGTGGGATTAAACTCACGGCGTGAAGGACATCGTAGCTCAAGTGGTAGAGCGTTGGCTTGCGTAAAAGGCCTCCCTCCTATGTGGGTTCGAATCCCGTCGAATGCCGCGAGTTTTTTCACAATTGGGTCAACTAAACTAACCAAATCTGCCAAACCAACTTAATATATATAGATGGAGATATGATAATGAAATGATCCGCTTAAGCAAAGGGAGAGGGGAATGGCCATTTCTGGCTTGTTAGCCATCACCAGCCAGTCATACCCAATCTCGAGTGTTAGAACCCCCACGATTCGAACCCGGGACCTTTGGTCATTGTGTTTATTACTCTACTTCGGCACCACGGGCCCGTTGCTTTGTCGGTTGAGATCGGGAACATGATGGGTCTGTGTACTTCGCCGATCAGTATAGGAACATTTAGGCTCCGCTTTGCCCAAGAGCTCACAATTAGAGTCTGCGCAGGCAGTCACATAGTGACTATGAAGATACGATGATGACCAAAGGTCTCGGGTTGGAATCTCGGGGGTTCCAACACTCGAAACTGTGTATGACTGGCTGATGATGGCTTACAACCCGGAAATGGCCATTCTCGTCCCCTTTGCTTTGTCTGATCCATCTCATCATCATATCTTCATAGTTACTATGTGACTGCCTGCGCGGACGCCAACTGCGTGCTCCTGGGCAAAGCGGCACTTAATTGTTCCTCTACAAGATCGGCGAAGCACATATATATGAATTTGAAAATTGGAAAAGGCATCAACCAACAAAGCCGGCCATTAACAAAGGATGACAAAGTATTATAGATTATTTGGTATGTTTAAAATACAAACTTTTCTATACACAGTTCCCACACGCCCAACGACGACCTGGTGTGCCAGAGTCGAAAAGTTACAATTAACTTTGTTTATGTTTCCAAAATGATTTCTTCTACCAACTATATATATGTATATATATAGCCTGCACAGGCCTATGTTAGTAAACTTATCGAACATTTAATTGCAAAAACCACCGGGTTGACACACCT